CCCCCCCTCAGCCGCCAGCCCGCATGTACTCCGCACCTTAGTATCTCACTTCCGCACTGCTCCTCCTCTGAGTCTCAGTGATATTCTCTTTCCTCCTAGTTGTAGAATTTCCACTCAGCCAGCCTTCCTGTGGTTCTGGATGATGTCCATTCCGTCTTTTAGGTGTATTTTTGAATTGGTTGTTCGAGGCAGCAATCTCCGGCGTTAACCTATGCCGCCATCTTGGTTTCTCCCTAGTTGTATTTTTGAAGTGGTCGTTTGAGGCAGCAAACTCCAGTGTTTACCTATGCCGCCATCTTGGTTTCTCTCGGTTCTGACACCCTTATCTATTTATTCTATTCTTCACCTCATTTGTAGATTTTTGAAATCTTTCATGGTGGTATACACAGATCAGTTTCATTCCCAATGACCACAATAATTATTCTATCAGGTACTGTAACAATTCTCATATTTTTTAACATGCTTTTTTAAAGTCACCTAACACATGGATATATGCTCACTATAAAACATTCACATATTCAAGAACAATACAAGTTCAAGCTCTTTCTATGTATGGGTTCACCTTATTCTTTCTAATAACTGCATATGCCAAGACATACTAAGTGGAAAGAGTAAGTCACAAATTCATACTTAGGTGTCTAATAAGTATCTCAAACTTATGTCCAAAACTGAACTTTTGATCTTTAACAAACATACGTACTCTATCCCATCTCATATAGTTTATATATGGAATAAGATTTTTTTTTCATTAAAAGCCTTTGTATTTTTATAAGCCTTATGTTACTGTTTAAAAATTTGATCTATCCAATATTACAGATTAATTACTTCAAAGAAAATGTCAGCATATGGCAATTCTATCCTTCCAGTTGCACAGATCAAAAATCTAGGAGCCATCCTGGATTCTTCTTTATCTCTCACACATTAAATCTGTAAGCAAATACTATTGGTTCAACTTTTAAAACTTATCTGAAATCCAACTGAATATCACTACCTCATCTTCCACAGCTCTGGTCCAACTCACCATTATCCCTTCCCTAGATTAATGCAGAAGCTTCCTAACTTGTATACCTCCTTCTACTCTTTCTTTCCATCCTCCTCCTGACTCCATTCTTGTCACAGCAACCAAAGGAATCCTTACAGGTAATCTTAATTTTTGTGTGGCACTGATTCCTTTGGAAATCTGGTGAAATCAATGGACAGACACCTTCTCAGATAGTGTTTTTAAATACAGAAAAGAAACTTGTAAGATTAAAAAGAAAACAATATATGAGTATGAGAACAAAAATTGTATGTGCTTTTTTATAACATTAAATGGATTTAGCAGTGGGTCTAATAACTCTTACAATCTCAAAGTAATAATGACCATAAATGATATTTCAGCATATCTTCCAATAATAATGTAATTTTTACTGGTGGTCACAAAGTCACAGGTAACTTTAATAACTACTGAGATTTATTGGCTATATTATTAAGTGTGTGGACAAAAAAGGGGTTCTACGGAAAGTAACCCCACAGGATGAAATCAATATAAATTCCTAACCGGGCAGGTCATGGTGGGTTGGCATGCCTGAGGCATGTAACTTTTTTAGTGAAAGGTTTATCTTTGCCTTAATCAAAAATTGTTTCTGTGCATCTAGGTTAAATTCACTTTTGAAATACCTCTTTTCAGAAGTGAGCACCCTAAAGGGAGCACATAATCTTCTTAATTATCCTGTAATCCAATCCCTGCCTTGCTTTCTGCCACCTTCCTGCAATCTTCCTTGCATTCCCTCCTTAATTGTCAATGCATAAAAGAAACCGCAAAACTGTCCCTTTCCTAAGCATTTGAGATCTTGCTTCCTGGCAATGTCAGTTTGGCCCAAATAAACTCTTATAAAAGAAAATACTGTTTTAGTTAGAAGACAATGAAACAATAATGTAAAATTTTTCTAACTTTCCAAGCGCGCCTGAATTATAAGCAGACTCCATGGGAAGGACTCAGTAAAGAATTCCTCTCTAGACTGGCCTGTGTGGCTGAGGGGTTGAGCATCAACCTGTGATCCAGGAGGTCATGGTTCGATTCCCAATCAGGGCACATGCCTGGGTTGTGGGCTTGATCCCCAATGTGGGATGTGCAGGAGGCAGCCAATCAATGATTCTTTCTCATTATTGATGTTTCTATTTCTCTCTCCCTCTCTTTTCCTCTCTGCTATCAATAAAAATTATGTAAAGAAAAAAAAAAGAAAGAATTCCTTTCTAAAAAGTCCGTCAAGAGGCTTCTGGTCAAGATGGCGGTTAAATGCAGTACTCAAAGCCTCCCACAACATCATCAAAATTTACAACTAAAATACAGAACCACCTTCATTCAGAGCCAACTGAAATCCAGCTGAATGAAAGTCCTACAACTTGGGAATTAAAGAAGCAGCACATGAAGACTGGTAGGAGGGGCAGAGATGTGGGTGGAATTGGCTGGTCCCACAACATGTGGCAGTTTAAAATTTCAAAAACTGGGAAGCATATCTTGGCTGTAAAGGTTTCCCTGAGGAGTGAGGGGTCCCGTTCCCCGAGTCTAGGGTGTCAGTGCCGGGAAAAAAAGTCCCCATAACTTCTGGCTGTAAAATCTAGTAGGGATTGTGCTCCTGCCACTGTTCCCATATGTGTTAAGCCACATACTAGCCATGTGCATTTGTTTACTCTTGGTGACCTGTGAATGCTTGCATTTCCTAGACCTATTCAGTATAAATTTAAAATTACAGTAATACATACAGAAAATGATAGGAATAGAACCGAGAATTCCTGGTTCATAGGTCAATGCTCAATCACTGAGCCACACTGGTGGGCAAAATCAGTGTACCTTGGTTGCGGGCACATCCCCAACAGGAGGTGTGCAGGAGGCGGCTGATCGATGTTTCTCTCTCATCGATGTTTCTAGCTCTCTATCCCTCTCCCTTCCTCTCTGTAAAAAATCAATATATATATTTTTTTAAAAAAAACAAACCTAAGCATTTTCAGAGAAAATGAGTTATTGGTGCTTTCAATCCAAATGGTCATCACATTAAACATAGTTGGTATGATATTTGTTCAACACAAATTCGGTAAACCAAAATGCTAAATTATACAACTACAAAAGTCGCTTTTTCCATTCCTTTCTTATTTCTCCCTCCATTCAGCTCCATTTGACCTGTCCAGCAGCAGCTATCATGCTGCTTATTCATGCCTTTTCCAAACAGTAAATATGTTATGCTGTCAAATTACAT